GCAATGCTGTAGCACCATGGACAGCTCCCCCAAAGCTCAGAGTTGAATCTAGCACTGTTACATTGTCCTGCTGACCTTGGAACCAGCTGCTTAATTGCCTGTGCATCCGGTCTTCCTATTAGGCAGAGTCAGGCAGCCACTGCAGGAAACAGTTGTTGGAGGACAGCATCAACATCTCTCAACTATTCCCTTCTGTTAGAGGACAGAGTCGCGCATACATATTACACTGAATTTATATCCTGCCTTCTTCCCACTTGAAAGGAGCCCAAAGAGGTTACTGAGTTCTCCTCCACTCTGTTTTTATCCTCAAACCCTGTGAGCTAGGTTAGACTGAGAGTGAGTGACTGGCCCACAGGCGCCCAGTGAGCTTCATGGCTTGGTGGGGAGATCTCCCAAGTCCCAGTGCAGCACTCTGACAATTATGCCACACTAGCTCCTTCTCTGCTTGCTTTTGGGTTCCTAAACTCACCTGCTGCTTTAGTGAGGGTGGAGGATGCTTCCCTTTCACAAGTGTGAAGGCAAGTCCTTGTGGGCCTCTGGGTGCAAAGTGTGGCAATGGTGCCCTCTCTCCTCTGGCTCTTCACCACAACCACAGATTGGCCCATATTACTGGTTGGTTGCCACTTGCAAGCAGGGGGAACATGGTGCGCACACTTCTTGTCTCTCTTTCGCAACCTTAGATACTCAGAGGATGCTGGTCTACAACCAACTTCCATAACTGGGTCATTGGCCATGCTGGCTGGGGGTCCGTGGAGTTGTAGCCCTACAACATCTGGGGACCCATGTCTGCTTGGGAAGACAGTCCTGTGGCCTAATTCTCATGAATGTCTTCAGCCATACCACTTGAGATGGCATGCCAGGATTCATAGGACTGAATCTTTCCTTCTCCATCCAATGATTAAACAGACATATCTGAAATCTCTCCATGCAGAGGGAAGCATTCTAGCCAATGCTTTCCCCTATATTTAGCTTTCTGTCACAAGGATAAAGGTAAAGGTTTCCCCTTGATGTCCAGTCCAGTCATGCCTGACTCTAGGGGGCGGTGCTTATCTTCATTTCCTAGCCGAGGGAGACAGCATTTGTCCGCAGACAGTCTCCGTGGTCATGTGGCCGGCATGACTAAACACCAAAGTGCACAGAACACTGTTATCTGCCCACCAAAGTGGTACCTTTTTTATCTACTTGCATTTGCATGCTTTTGAACTGCAAGGTTGGCAGGAGCTGGGACGGAGCAACGGGAACTCACCCCGTTGTGCAGATTCAAACCGGCAACCTTTCGATCTACCAGCCCAGCAGCACAGCAGTTTAAACCACTGCGCCACCTGCAGTCCCTGTCACAAGGATATTGCTGTATAAAGTAGAACATTCCATCATGGCAGCCTCCTGCTGCTGTTGCAAATGGTACAGTCCAGAGACAGGTTTACTACTGTAAGTGAGAATTAGGTGGTACCATAAATAAGAATATAAGAGTGTAAAGAAGCCATGCTGGATGGACAAAGGTCCATCTAGCTCAGCATTCTACATACATGGTGGCAAACCAGCAGGCCACAGGATTGCTTATGCAGGTGTGAACTGAAGTTGGTCTTGACCTTCACCCCCCAGAATCCTCAGCAACTGCTGCAAAGCAGGCATGCCACCTCTGGTAATGGAGACATTGTGCAGCCAAAAAAGAAGAAGAGCTGCAGGTTGCTGTATTCAGAGGCAGCTATGAAGGCATGAGATCATCTAGTTCCACCCTAATGGATCTGGGACAGTCTGTCCTTCAGAATTTGGCCAGCACTCTCTGCATGCCATTTTGGTGTAATAAATTTTGCCACCTTTAGTCCTCTTTTCATTCCTCAGAAGATCTCCTGCTTTCTTTTATTTCTCTGCTAGTGTGCGTCTCCCAGTCATTTCCCAAGTACATTTATAAAATCACTCCCCTCCAAAACTCTCCTTGTGACCTGTTCCTTCCACTAAGTCTCTCTTGAATGCCTCTTAAGTTTAGATGGGTGGCACTTTAAATATGGGTTTGCAATACAATGCATGCTTCAGCATTGGGTTAAGCCAATCCTTCTTATTCTGCTGAGTGATCTCCTGGATGTCTGCCCCAAAGTCCTGCTGTAACAGCAGCACTACTCAGAATGGATGCAGGAATGAAATATCCAAGGCTCAGTGATCAGTTATGTGCATTGGTGATTCTGCATCACATAAACACAGTAGACAAATGCACACCCATATGGCATGGCAAAAGCAATCTGTTCCCTGCCCTGTACTGCAAGTGTCATCTTCTCCCCACTGCTGTGGTATCACAGAAAGTTTGCTTAAGGGAAGAATGAGGAGGATCCGCCCCAGGGCAGTGAACCTGTCCATGTGCGCATCTCCTTGGGGCAGTGGAATTCTGTGGGTTGCCAGAATTGTGTGGGCCAGTGCAGCACAGGAGCTAGAGCAGGAGTGTAGAAGCATGGGGCTGGGAGCCACATCCAGCCTACCTGCGGTGCCAATCTGGGCATCCACAGTGCCCCAGAAGGCTATGCCAGTCATTGGCTGGTTTCCTGGAGTTTGCACAGTCTTTCCCCCACTCTAAAAGGTTGAAATGCCTTTCATAAGGCAATTTGTCACCGGCAGTAAGAACTTTAAGTTAAAATATCCTGGCATTTTGATCCTGTCCCTTTTGTTCATGTCTCTGCCCACCACTGGAATCTGCCTCTCAAGGGTTTCTCTGAAGTAGAATTCAGCCTTTGGGATGAATCAGTTCAACACCTCTGTGCTAGAGACTTTGGTGCAAAGCCAGCATTTGATTAGTGAGCTGGGTTCTGGAGGGCACGTGGTTGCAGAAGGCTGCTCTAGACCAAAGAAGCAGAACCTTGGGTCCAGGCAGCCCTGTCATCTTTCCCTCAATCGCCGATTGTTTGACAGTTCCTCAGCTTTTGTGTCAATTCCTTCCCTCTATAGAAAGTGGATCTGTTTCTCTAAGGTTGACATGCTTCCCTCATGCTAGTAAGCTGTTCTTTTTAGTATTTTGAGCTGCCCCTTTCGCCATTGGCCCCATCCACTGACATGTTGCCTGAGAGTTTCCCTGAAATGGAATTTGGCCCTTGGGTTGAGAGTGGTTCTACTCTGACCTAGACAAGCCAATGATCTGGCTTGGCAGGAGGCAGATTCCTAGATTATTAATGCATTTTTCCCCCTTTCACTTTAGTTTTCTGTGAGGGATGCCTTCCATGGGAATCCTTAAAGTACACTAAACCATCCTTATGGTCTTTCCCAGAAAAGGTGCTGCTGCTTGTTTTCACTGCTTGGATGTACTTGGCCTGGGACTGGCTCCAGAATGGCGTATACCCTCGGCAACTGGCCTCTGGTAAGAAACTCCCATGTTTGTGTTGTTTTGTGCATCCAGGCTGAACTAGCAGTAGCAATGAGCAACTGGGCAGCCACCATTTTAAATTTCTCACAGCATGCCTGGTGCACCATCATTCTGAGGCATGATGGGAAATTCACAAAGCCATCCTCCCAGACCCAAACCAGGCGGAGATCTCAGGGCTGGTGTCAGTCCTGGCAAGCACCACTCGGGTGCGATGGGCTTGGCAGATCTCCTACATGCCGAGACCAGACCTGAATGTGCCCAGATCGCTGTGGGAATGATTAGTGAGTGCAAGGCTAGGCTGAGGGGACGGCATTGCAATATTGGAGGCATTCCCTTTGGTGCACACTTGTGAGACATGCCACATCTCGGAAGCACTGCAACTTTAGCAAGCCAATCATCCATGATTAAGAGAGCTCACTGCTGAATCTGCACACCAGCAAACAGTTTATCATACCCTGTTCCCAGCAGTGGTAATCCAATTTCTGTTATTTTTCATGGATATATATATATATATATATATATATAGAGAGAGAGAGAGAGAGAGAGAGAGAGAGAGAGAGAGAGAGAGAGAGAGAGCAAGCTACCATATATCAATCTGATAAAGATGTTTAAATAATGGGTGCTGTACTTTTTTTTTTTTTAGGTGATTATGTGAGTTTTATAGCAGCATTATGGAAACATGACAGGGAAGCTAAAATCTGATTATGCCTAAATCCTGGCCCATTATGTGATTATTATGAGCCACAGCACAGTAGGAGTTACATCGTTATGATAGAAGGGATTTCCAATATAATTAGATCAGATTGGCAGCGCCATAGAAATCAGAATAGAGCATCACAATGGTTTTCCTGTAAATGCCAGTAGCCCCTGCTTCCAGTCAATGTGCCCCATGTAGGTGTAGCAGTTCAGTTCTCGCTAGGGCTCTTCAAGCAGAGGTTAACGTGTTGAGCTGGAGGGCCCCAAGGGTTCCTTGGAAGAGCCCTTGGCAAGTTTGCCTGAGTTAAGCCAAGCAACTGGCACTGAGTTTCCAAGGTTGTGGTTTTTGTGTTCTACTTTGGGCTTAATGTACCTGTATTTTGAGTCAGAAACCTTTGGCTCTCTGTGCAACTGCATCTCAACCTTTTGGAATGGGAAAAACTGCATGGGGGGGGGGGGTGTCCATCTGAAGAAATCCAGAGGGCTGAATTGGGAGCACAGGTAGGTCCTATTTGTTCCACAAGTCTGTGGTTTTGTACTATTGGTGTATAACAACTCGAGCTCCTTGGAGGAATAGCATAAAAATATCATCATCATCATCATCATCATCATCATCATCATCATCATCGTCTTATAGAGGCAATTATAGTAGGTAAAGTTGCCAGTTCTCTAGCTGCCAGATGAAATTCCTACTTTTGGAAGTCCTGAAAGGTTATCAGACCAGAATCTCTCCCTCCACCAAAGCACGTTTTCATTTCACATGAATAAATACTCAAAAAGTTTTCTAATCTTATACATGCAATAATCAAAAACTGCCTAAACTTAAGGATATGGGCAAAACCATACTGAAGTGGCATCACAGTGGCCTCTATTTGTATTTGGCCAGCTTGTCCCAGCCACCGAACACACCTGCTTTTCCCATGACCATGCCCCATTTCCTTTTCAGTCACTTGCTTACCTCAAGGGCTGTTCTGAACTGGCCTGCTGCCATTGCATACTTCTTCTGCCTATAGCAAGTACTAGCGTCCTTCAAGGACACCTGAAGCCATTTATCCATCTGTGGTAGGGCGTTCAGATCAGGCAGTCTCTGAGAATCCATCCTTATGTCCTCTGGAAAAGTTTGTTGCTCACTGGTGGAAGCCTGGGACTCCAAAAACTCATAGGTGACATCCTCCTCATCCGTGTAGACCAACTTCATTTCTACTTCCATGAGGCTCTTCAAGGGAATATGAGACAAAAGCATGGCAATGGGCTGGTTTTCTAGGTCAGCCAAGCATGGCTCTTTCCTCACAGCTGGCTTTCCCTCACTTTCTAACTTCCGTTTAAGGCATAACCTCTCTAAATCCTTGGTGCTGTCCTTTTCCACTTTGGGTGTCTCCATTTCATTGTCCATGCTCTCTCCCTGCAAAGGGCTTTTAATCTCTTGCAAAATTTCAGGAATATCTTTCTGTTGGTAAACCGTTCCCCTCAGCTCCTCAGTTATACACTCCTTTCGGCATTCTTCATTTGTGACATGCTCAAAACTTGCATTGTTTGCTGACTCCATGACTCACAAAAGAAAGCTAGGCAGAAGTTCCTAAGAGGGAGGAAAAGGTGGGAAAGTTTACAATTCTGAGCCTTTGAAAGAAACGATGCAAAACAAATGTTTTATTCAATTTGCCCACAGCTGTTGACTTCTAATGGTGCCAATCAGCTATAGTTAGCAAAGAGCAGAGAGTTTTGTTTTGTTTTGAAAGATCTCAGAATTATACCCTCTTTTGTGTATAGGAAAATTAAGCATAGCACTTACAAAATGGTTGTATAATAGGCATTGTGAAAATGTATCTTGACTTCTGTTTCTTGCAATTACTCCCCTATGAAGAAAGGTTACAACATCTGGGACTGTTTAGCAGAGAGAAAAGGCAAGTGAGGGGAAACATGATGGAGTTCAAAATTATGCACAATGTGGAGAAAGGGGATAAGGAGACATCTTTCTTTTCTTCTCTCTCTCTCTCTCTCTCTCTCTCTCTCTCTCTCTCTCTCTCTCTCTCTCTCTCTCTCAAAACAGTAGAACCTATTGGGGTAACCCATGAAGCTGGTTGTTGGAAGATTCAGGACAGATAAATGGAAGCATTTCTTTACACAGCACATAGTTAAACTACGGATTTAGCTGCTGAAAGATGTAGCGATGGCCCACCAGCTTAGCTTTTAAAGGGCAGTGGGCAAATTCACTGATGGCTACTAGTATTAATGGGTACTAGTCAGGATGGCTACATGTTCCCTCCACTGTCATAGGCAGAATGCCTTTGTACACTAGTGCCTGGGAATATGAGCATGAAGGTGCTATTATATTCACATCCTGTTTGTGGATTTCTCACAGGGAGCTAGCTGAATGCTTGACCAAATGGACCTTTGGTCTGATCTTCATATATTCTTATGTACTCACACCTGCTTAGATTCCATTTCTTTTCAGGAACTTGAATTAAGCTTTGTTCTACAGGTGAGGAGGTGGGTTTGGTTTGCAGATGGAGCAATGAGTGCTATGTGGCACTTGGAACTAGCTAGATGGATATACTTATACAGTCATGGAGCAACTTGTGTAACTATGGGCCAGCCACTATTACTCAGCCTAACTTACCTTCTAGGTTTGCTGTTAGGAGCTAACTGGATAATCCTGCTGCACACCACCCTGAAGCTTCAGGAGAAAGGGTGGGAAAAGAAAATAAGAAGAGCTGTTCCCAACCAAAGACTATCTGTTCCACCATTCTGTTCTTACCAACAGTTGCTCCAGTAGGAAGCCCATATCAGGACATGACCAAATGAGCATTCCTAGAACATGTTGTCAGGAATTAGTGTTCAAAGGCATACCACGACTTTTCCTGGATGCAATATATCACCCTTGGGACTATTAGCCATTGATGGCCATGAACTGGTCTAATCCCATTTTAAAGTTATCCAGGTTGGTGGTCACCACTCTGCCTCTGGATCTTGATTTAGAGTCATATTTACTTCTCTTGAGCTTGCATAGATAAGTGGTTGGGGGCAAGAAGAAGAGGTCAGAGTCTTGCCAAGTGAAGTAATTCTGATGTGGGCAGCAAGCATGTTGAAGGGCAGCCCCACTTGATTCCCTATGTTAAGAGATTGCCAGGTTGCTATGAGAAGGGAACATGGGGTGGTTCCTATTTTCTACAGAAATATGAAACATTAGGTCTTAATTCACTGATTTATGATGGGAATAACAGTCAACTATCTCACAGGGTGGTTGAGCTCAGCCGGGCTCACTCGATTCTCTGCTCTAACTAAGGGCATTAAGCAGGCAGAGTGAAGTACCTCTAAGTCTCATTGATTCCAACAGGGTAAACTGAAGAATCATTTAATAACTGCATCAAGATCAATGGGACTTAAATCTGGGCTTGACCTTGTCTGGGTCAGTGCCACAAGATTTAAACTTTTTGGTCACTGGTCCCATTATTTCTCTGTGCTGTGCAGCACACAGATGCATAGATGGAACATGACTAGCCAAAACACACTGGGGATTAGCAGTAATGCTGTTATCCCCAGGAGAAAGGGTGTGATGGAGCTGGAAAAGAAGCCCAGCAGAGCCACCAGAATGATCCAAGGCTTACACAAAAAGGCCCATCTTTAAAAAATGGGCAAAATATGCCACTGAGTACCAGTTGTTAGGGGCAACAGCAAAATATAAGAAGAAGAGTGGTGGATTAGACCAAAGGTCTGTCTGGGCTAGCAATCTATTCACCGTGACTCAGAAACTCAACAATGAAGGAACTAGAAAAGATCTTCAAATGTAAGGATGTTTCACTGGAGACCAAGCACACGATATTCATACTACTATATTTCCAATCACTATGGGAGGGTGTGAAAGCTAGACAGAGAGATGGGAAGAAATTGCTGCATTTGAAACATGCTGCAGGAGGAATGCTTTGTGAATGCTGTACATTGACAGAAAGATAAATCAATCTGATCTTAGATCAGATCAAGCCAACTTTCCTTGAAAATAAAAATGACTACACTGACGCTGTTGTACTTTGGGTGCATCATGAGAAGGCATGACTCACCGGAGAAGACATTCATGCTAGGGAAAGGAGCAGAAGACCACCTATTAGATAGATTGATTTCATAAAGGAAGCCACAACCTTGCTGAGCAGGACTGTCAAGGGCAGGGCATTTTGGAGGGCTTTCATTCACAGGATCATTCAAAATCAGCACATAACAAGCACTAATGAGTGTGACTGACTCCTAGGCTCAGTTAGCTGGGAATAAGTTCTTTCGGACTCCAAGGAATTCAACTTGTAACACATAGAGCTACAGGCAAATGAAATGCAACCTTCAGGTTTTAGTTAGCAATTCAAACATTCTTCTTATGCCAGTAGGAATCCAATCAAAGGAAAGATGTATCCAGGTTCTGCTTAATCATTTCCCTCACTTTCTGACCTCCCCTGTGCCAATCAACCAAGAAAGAATGGCATCATTTGAAAGCTTTGCTATCTCTTAACTAACATATCAGGGCAAGGAGGGTCTGTCAATTACCTTGGTATTGTAGCAGATGTTTTCTTCCTCCTCCTCTGGGAAAAGTCCTGGCACTGCACTCCCCTGTATTCCCCTTCTACTACACCACTAGTGGGCTTCCTAAGGCATCAGATTGAGCTCTCTCCTCAATGTTACATCCAAAGAGCTGGTGAGACTGTGATGGCCTTTAGGAGTATTACCCTTGTCATTGGCTCTTATGAATGAAACATCAACCAATCACTCTTATACAGCCTTCCTCAACTAGGTGTCCTCTGGATGCTTGGATTTCAACCCCGCATCAGCCCCAGTCAGCATGGCCAATGGTCAGGAATGTTTGGAGTTGTCCAAAACATCTAGAGAGCGCCTGGTTGAGAAAGATGTCAGAGATGAATACTAAGCCAAAAGCCTAAAGAAGGATGCTTGTCTAACACACAGCATAACACGTTATTCAGCACATATCATGTTCATGCACATCCTGTGTTGACCAGGGCCAAAGTGTGTGCATATGTGTGAAATGTCTTCCTCACAGGTGCTAGAAATCCAGCAAGACTACGTTTGCTGGCATTTGCTGGATGAGGAAGTCCATGTGCAATGGTGTTTAGAGTTCTCTTGCACATAAGGGAAGGCAGACCTTTGCCCATAAGTAAGTGACCCACAGAGCCAGTCTGAGCAACTGAAGCAAAGCTTTTGTGCACGGAATTTGTACAGAGCAGTTGATATCTTTAGTGAGCATATTAGCAAATCATCTTTGTCAGATAAACAGATTTTCCTGATCGTTTCTCTCCAGCAGCTCTTCTCCTTTCTTTTAGGGAGAAGTTTACTGTGCAATTGAATTCCTTGCAAGTGATGTACTATTGAAAGCATAATTCTAGTTGCAAGGAAAGGAATTTTTCCTTTTTACCCAAAAGGTTTATAATGAACATAGCCCATCAGGGATAAAGAGAAGAGATGGCTACCAATGTTATTGGAGAGAGCAATTTCTTTCAAATTGACTTTGTGTATTTCCCAAAATGCCTTCCTTTGGCTGATATGATCGAGTAGCCTGGCCTTTGTATTTTCAGGATTAATTCTACCCTCACCCCCCACTTTTGTTAGGACAGACAATGACAAAAATGACGAATAACAGCAAAGTGTGCAGCCCTTTCAAAATGGAAAAGTCCCAGCTAAAAAGATAACCCATTTTAAATGGGATGTGGAGTGAAAATTGTACTGCCACAGTCCTGCCTTTTAAAACAATCTAATTTTAGCTTTCTGCATGTTCCACTCTTGCTAGGGTGAAAGGAAAAAAAGGGCCCTAATAAGGGGGAAAACGATTCTTTTATATAAAGCTTTTCCAGACTTCGCTCTGCATTTGGCACACTGGCCCTGTATTTTCCTGCTATTCTATTCAATTGTAAGTGTGGTTCTGCTTTCACTACACTCTGTTAGTGCTAAGGAGTAGGGTCATATTAAAAGAACACCTGCATCTAAGTCACACTGACACTTCTGATGGCCCTGTTGTAAAACTGGGCTATCAAAAGTGACCCTGTAGCAGTCTTTGTAATTTGACCTCTATTTTTCTTTCAACATTTAAGAAATGCATCTCTTGATGCAAAAGATGTGGCATAGACATCTTGAGCCTGATAGACACATGCTGCAGAATGAAATGGTGTTGTCCTGGAACATACCATTTCAGGTGGCCAGTGAAGAATATCATTTCCTAATACTCCCTTACAACCTACTCCCTGCAAGTAGAGATCTGGCAGAGCAGACACAAAGTTGACTATTTTTTTTCTCGCAGTTACATTAGCTTTCTTTCAGCTCAAAGCCTTTGACATGAAGGGACTTTTCAAAATGGCACCCCACTGGTGCTGGCCAATGGATCCAATATTACTGGTGTGGTGTATCTCTTCTGGATTTGAATCTGACCTTTTAGGGACCTGCACTGTGTCCCCCAAATTGGTTCAGTACCATGGATAAGTCCTTTAAGTTCGGGCCAAAATCCATGATAGATATACATCTCCATTGACACTGGAGTTATTAGTCACTGTTGACCCCCAC